CCCTTTACAGGTAGGGGGAAATTTAAAATGTGCACCGCAGGCAGTAAGTTAATGAGATTGCAAAGACAGAAGAACAAACTATCACCCTTCTGTATAGCTAAGCAGATAGAGTCCATGGCAAGTGTCTTGAGATAAATGATATTTGTCCTCATGGAAGAGGACTGAACACACGGATGTATACATTCTTTCCTAATTCAACCTAATTTTACCTTGTAATGTGAGTGGCCATCTGTGTTAGTTGCCTTTATCCTAAGGAAAGATTAAACTTCTATCTCTGTGACAAGAAAGTCCTGGAGACAGAATGGTGCAAGACATCCAGGTCAAATTCCCAGGGTGACAAGAAGATGAGAGTGCTATCTTCCCGGAAGGTTATATTTCAGAGATGGTTCCCGGGCCCTTAAAAAAAATTCCTGGATGGGGTGGCACCTGTGGCTCAAAGGAGTAGGGCACCGGCCACATACCAGAGGTGGCAGATTCAAACCCAGCCCCAGCCAAAAACTGCAAAAAAAATTCCTGGGCATTGGGCTCAGAAGTGGTTTAGTTAACTTTTTAAAGTTTTTTACATGCATATCAAAGGGATTGGGAAAGGAATCATAAGTGCAGTTTTCAAAGAAATGCTCAAAGAGAAGGGGGAGAAAGGTCTTTTTCTCCTTTGACTACAGGGAAAATTCAATCTTATTTTTATTTATCCTTATATAATGAATATCTTTAATTTCTGGTTCACTCCTTCCTGTGTGTTATTTTGCAAATGAAAGCAAGCACATATAAATATTCTTATTTTGCCCTTTTGCTGAGTGTTAATTCTTTTTTTTACACGTGAGAATTAATTTAAATCTAATTTGACTCCTTGACACTAACTGATCATCAATGAAATATGGGAAAGATCACAGAGTGGACAAGCAAAGATTCGTTTATACAACAGTGACTCTGTACATCAGAAGGAAAACATGCTAGCTAATGTAACATGAAGGCCCAAACGTAAGCATTTCCAAAGTCACAGAAGCCCGAAGGAATCCATAAATTATAAATTCACCACATTACATGCATGCAACATTCACTTTTGTTTTGCCCATAAAAGGGTCACAGTATTTTTCTGTGAATACCAGATACATTTACAATATATGCA